CAATTTTGATTAAAATTCCAATTTTACCGATATACTTTTTTTCACAATTATTACCATTAACTTTGCATTCAAAACAAATATAAATTCAGAAACATCCATTGCCGATGTTCTTAGTCCAAAGTGACATGTAATGGGCTTGTAATGGTCATAATTAGAACGTAACAATTTTGACACATTAGTAGTTTCGAATTGCGAATTAAATGTCCCATGGTACACGTTTTGTGTCCACGAAATGCACGACCATTACCATAAACCAGAAACGTAATTATATATTGTTCGCATTGTTAAATATAACTGTTTTAATTGGATGGCTGTCCAGGACTTTAGTTGCAATTAAGGACCTAAACAGGCGAAACGGTTTAATGGACGCGTTTCGAATATTAAACTAGTAAAATGGTAATGACAATAAGTGTTGATGCACATGTGGCAATCAATATTGTCTCGCCAGATCTATATATTCTGCTCTTGTATACTGCCAAATATAATAAAAATATAGAGGTCCACGAGTATTTCTGCTTTTATAACTTTACTAATTTGACCATTCATATTGCCATCTTCGAATGTTGCTCATCTTAATTTAGCAAAATATTGCTGTCTTATCAATCAATGTTATAATAATATTGTTTATAGAAATTCCTAGTATTTCTACTATCTTTCTAAAATAAGTTTGATACTGATAGCACCGAATTCCAGGGATGTCCTTATTTTACTTCCTGGACAATTTTACTTCTATGAATTGGTTCATCGTTAGTTGGAAAGTCCTGCCCTGTATTTTATTTTAAGTCGTACTAGTAAAATTTCACCAACTATTGGGGCAAACACAAATGTGATTTTGCAGGGCTAAGTCATTTTTGAAAAAATCTCAGTTTTGCATACTAAAACAGATATATTTAACAGATTAATTTTTAATACGCCCCAGATCTACATTTGTAAGTCAATTACTTTAATATTTTTTAGTATTTGCTATTTTACTTAATTTTTATAAAAAATTAAAGGTTATGGTGAGGGCAGGGTGTCCCAGAATTCAACGTCGAATCAAAACTGGGTGATGATATAGATTGATCATGAAATAAATTAGAAAAATCTTACATAGTTTGAAAAATCAGTGCAACCTATGATTTTGGTAAAAACGTTAAAAATTTTTACTCATTGTGGCTAATTTTCATTAATTTTGTTCATTTAAAAACAAAGTTTTCAATAATATATATATCTCAAACATTTTGTTGAACTTAAAATTGATTTTGTTAAAATTTTCAAAATTGATCGACTGAGAAGCCCTCCTTAGGGGGCGTCCATTAATCACGTGAGGTTTTTAGGGGGAGGGGGGTTAGATAAAAATCACCAAATATCACATGAGGGAGGGAGGGGTATAGTAAATATTACGTGTATCAATTTTTTAACTGATTTTTTTGAAAAAATCAAATATTTTCAAAAAAAATTAAAAAATTTTACAGTTTTTTCGTGTAACTAAAAAGTCACGTGATGTTTGTTGGGTGAGGGGGGGGTAATTCTGAATATCACCATGTATCACCAAGGGGAGGGGGGTCGAAAAATCCTCAGAAATTTGCTCACGTAATTAATGGACGCTCCTTTAAAAAATGCACTAAGTATTTTTAAAGTTTTATTAAAAGTTGGTGTCTTTAATCAAGATTGTAAAATGGTAATAGTTTCATGATAAAAGGAATTCTAGTAAAAAATTAAAACCTTAGTATATCACGATTTTTGCATGGACATTTTGCTCACATTCTAATCAATAAATTAATTATTCTCTACTTCATTTGATAAATTATTCTAACTTTTTTCAAGATATTTATTATCAATACTATCAACCCGTTTCGGCTTGACGTTAAGTTCTGGGACACACTGTAAACATATCCAACTGAAAATTACTGAAAAATTAATTTATCTGCTGCGTTATATTTTTAATATTGTACTAGTAAAATATTTATTATAATAAGTTACACTTCCAACTTGTGTTTGCAGAGTCGAATTATTTTCTTATTTTCTTAAAAACTTTATTCTGTTCTCATAATTTTCTTAGAAACTTTATTCTATTTTCATAATGCTACAAATATAAATACATATCAATCATTTCTTTTTTTAGAGTTGAATATCTTACTTCTTTAAATTTACCATTTTTTTCTCAAAAAAAAATCATTCTGTGGTTTTAATTTAATTCCTCAGAGCAAAAACAAATTTATGTCATTAGATATTAATTTTTCTGGTAATACATTCCTAACTTTTTAGAATATATTAATCCTATCTAATATCATATAAAGTCAAAGGTGTATTTCTACTTGTCCAATTTTATTGGTTAATTGTTTTATGTTTGTCATAAATCCCTTTAAAATTGCACTCATCTAAAATAAGCACTTTAACTTTATTATTAGGATGGTCTATATCTATACTTTTTTTTCGAATTCTTTTATATTAGATAATTTCAATTAGTACTATTTTCTAAATCTGAATGATTAATCAAATTCATATCTATTTTTTACAGAAAATGATGTAGTTATCACGCAACGTTTATAAATCTGGTCAAAAATGCATAAGTTTGATCAACTAAGTGGACTTTCATAAAACGGACAAAAAGTGCAAAAGTGTATATCTAAACTATGCTAACTATCTAATCAGTGCTTAAACCAAGTGACAAAATTTAAATGTTTAAATAATAAATAAAAAATATCTTACTATATCATGTCATATTCAGAAGACTCAGTGTTATCCATCTTATCCCACCATCTGAACGATTCTTTTAGTCTGGAAGACATCATGGGCAAGTTGAACAGTTCTGAGGAATTGAAGTGTTTGTTGATGCAGGAGGAAGAAAAACAGATGGTCAACTCCAAAGTTGGCGAAGACAATGTTGTTCAATGTAATACTTATTGGGATAGTGTTTTGTGTTGGACGTCTACACCAGCTGGAACTACCGCTGTAAAGAACTGTATGAAGGAGCTGAATGGAGTGGAATATGATACTACACGTAAGTGACTCTAATTTATATTTATTTAAGTCATAATTTGACTTGTTTACAATTGCATACATATGCATCAATATATAACCACTTGTAATATTAATAGGAGTATTGAGTTCCAAATATCTATGGTCAAAGGATGATGACAAATCTAGGCAGCCTTACCCTTAACCAGTTTTTACCTCAGATCTGCTTTTGCCTTATGATTTTATTATTTTGCAAATTAGCAGGTTGACCCAACTAATTTCATTCTAATTTGGCAGAAGAATTAACCAGAATCCTTTTCATTTTTCTCACACGTTTGCCACCATGTTTGTTCACGAAATGCAAAAATCTCCCAACTGAAATTGAAATAAAAAAGTATTTACTCATAATCGCGATAAAAAATAATAATAGAATGTTATCACTCCGTTTTATTGAGTTGTAAAATTGACCATGACCTTTAAAATAATGACATTCTGGATTCATATGCAAATTTCGTCAGTTTGCCGAGCGATAAGTTTTTATGCTCTCAGATAAATGTTTATTGTAACTCCGAAAGTAAAGTTTAATGGTAATTAAATTATTTCAAGATACGAAATAATTCAGAAAATGTAGGAAATTTATTTAGAAAATGCAAATTGTGAAATTGAAGGAAATATCAGGGGAACGATAAATTACTAGGTACAAGTGGCATTTTGCTTTGAGGCAAGTTGCATCAACTTCACGGTACGTGTAAATAATCGACTTTATCAATACAATTTGAAATTAAGTTTTTAGATCAAATTATCTGGAAAAAAATCATGTTTTAAATCACTAAGAACTAAATAATGTAATTGAGATGAGAATGAGATCAAAATCTACGAAAAGATAACTATCAAAATTTTAATACTTAGAACTTAAACTTAGAACTTAGAAGAAAAACTTATCATATTTTTTACGATGCGCCACACTCTAATAATCACAAATCTTCTGTAGACTTCTGCTTACTTATATTTATATTTAAATTCCGGATACAGTATTAAATTTAGTAACTACAGAATATAAATGATCTTAATTGAATTAATTACAGTAAAATACGACTCTAAAACAATATTAAACCTAACATTAGTATTATCTAATACAATAACTTGAAAAAAAAGTTATAATATTGTGAGTTTATTTAAGGCTTGTAGATCTTGAGATTCCTCTGATGGTGAAAAAATTCTTAAAATATGTTAGGGTTTTGTTCCAAAATTTATGTCCATGTATTATTTTATAGACTAATGTGGTAACATTTTTCATAGCCCAATGATAAATGTACTTTTTTTAAAGCTGCCAATAATCTTTGACCCTAAACTATCAATTTTTGGAATAAATGGCTCTATTAAAGAATGGACTGTGGTAGAGAAATATAAATCAGAACATACTATTTGACTTTACACAATAACCTAAAATTGATCATAACAGTCATTTTGAGAAATCTTGTTCATTTGACATACTTTTTTCGGTTTTAGTAAAGACTCCAAAATCCAAACTGTTATCATCCTAGTTATTATTGAATTTGAAAAAAAACTAAGGACATGTGCAACTTTTTTAAAAATAGATCCGTTGACTAATGTATAAGTTACACATTTAAATGAATTTTAAAATATTAAATAATTTAGTTTATTACAACAGGACAGATATTTTCATTTTCACAAGGTCGATCAAATAAGTTTGTACTATTAATGAACTTCCAAAAAAAGTCAAAATATAAGTCTGAGTAGTTGGAATATTTATAACAGAACTTGGGTTTCATATTGAACAAGGATTTTAGAATTATTATTCATTCATCAGTTATATTTTTATCCAACTATATAATATATAAAAATAGAACTTCTATAGAAGGTGCAGCAGGTCATTTTCTAATACTCAAGGGAAAATGTTCATACTCCAATTAGCAAGTTACATCAGGCCACTTCGGCGAATGAAATATAAATTAGCTTCCATTTAGATTATCGAACTCAAAGAAAACTTTGCATTTATAGGAGATTTATCTATAAATATTTTATTCTGATATGAAATATAATATAATACAAAGCAAAGGGCTTATATTTAATTGACAATATTAATGTAAGGCACGAGAAGAACTATCGCGCATCGTACAAAATATGCTAAGTTTTCCTTCTCCTAATAGTTGTAACGTTAAATTCACATTAAATAAACTATCACAATATTATAACTTTTTTTTCAAGTTATTGTATTATATAATGCTAATGTTATGCTTGATATTATTTTACAGTTGTATTTTACTGTAATTAATTCAATTGAGATAATTTATTTTCTGTAATTACTAAATTTAATCCTGTATCCGTAATACAAATATAAATATAAATATCGTAACATTGTTCATTTATATAAAAATATAGATGTACTAGTGAAAATATTTTTCACATGACATTGACTTATTTCGACAATTAGGGCTTGTAGGGGCTGCAAAGAATAATTTAATTGTAGGGTATACTGCCAAAAATAACGGCAATATCCTTTATATCAATTTTTATACGTTTTGGGAAAAAAAAATTTTCTTTTTTTTTTTTTTTGCTTGCGATCATAGAGTTTACTCGTTATGACATTATCTGGTACAGAATTATGAATTTGAATCCATAAGTTTCGGCAATATTCGACTTTAAAGTTTGGAAATCACACAGTTTATTTTATAATTATTATTATTATTATTATTATTATTGATTTTATAATTATTATTGTTGCTGGTTTACCCGAAGGCATATTTTTCGATATTGAATTCATTCCGATTCAGTGCACAGAATTAAAAAAGTTCTTATTATTGGAGTTGATAGGAATTCAAAATATTTAAATTTAATTAAAATTTACTTAAAATTTAATAAAATTATATTAAATTGCATGAAAAGCCATAAAATCATATCAAATAAAATCAAAATGTATCATAATATTTTAAAATTTAATCGAAATAGGTCAATATTGATAACCATCATCAAAATAACTATAACTAATTTATTAATAATATAGATATTAATTATTAAATTCTTAATGGAATAAAATATATAAAAATTAAAATTAGTCGATAATAATAACGTTAACCAAAATTTTATGATAGTACAATTTTATATTACATCTCAAATATGACGGACCTTCACACTTTTGTATACTGCGTCGCCCTGGGGGACAATAGCTATGACTATAATATGCAGGACTTTTTACATGTCCAAGAGAGACAAATTTTTTTTTAATATCGTTCAAGATCCTTTAAAAAGCGCCACTTACCCCTGTTACAATGTTTACAATAGAACCCCTGTATGTTTTATAGATTTTACTAGATTTTTTTTATTGACTTGTTAATATTTTTATGTATTAAGATGAAAATATAGATTTATATACTTCCGCAAAAGTCGTAAATGAGAAAACTAGTTTATGGCATTAAGAAAGTTTCCGGAAATTGGAAAATGTGAGCTTCCATGATATGAAAATACTGTGGGAGTAAAACGTATTAAAATATAAGTAGTATTTCGAATAGTTTGATGACTAAAATATTTAGTTTAGTTTCTTAAAAAATAATGTTTGTTCTATAAAAAATTCATATTTAGCTCTGTAAATAAAATATTTAAAAAAAAAACGTAGTAAAAATAATACTAACAAGATCATATGTTGAAAAATTAGGAAAATTCTCTGTATGTCTCAAGATATATTTTTAATAGAATTTAGCTTCGTTAAATAAGTACTAATAGTATTATTAGTATCGGTAATACTAAAAATAATGGTGATGTGGAAAAAAGATAAACCATCTTAAAGTATAGCAGAAATAAAGAAATGACAGGTCTTTTATATGAAAAAAAACTACAAACAAATTAGAAAGTCAAAACTTTTGTAAAAACGATTACGATTGAAAGAAAATGATATTGCATCGAACAAGTATTTAAAAAACATTTTACTTGTCTTGTCGGAATGAAAAATTGATTACTATTTTGGGAAGGCAGGTCTAGCGGGTTCGGAGATACAGTGGAAAATGTTCTAAGCACTAGTATTTAAAACTATGTAAGCAAACTTGCAAGTTTAATTTCATTTAAGAAATCGTTACTTAGGGTTCCGAACCAGGATGCACAAAATGAAAAAATTTCCCAATTTTCGAAGAAAATTTTTTTTTTTCAAGATTCTCGAATTTAAATTTTTTTTTTCAAATTTTTGAGGATTTTCAAAATTAGATTTGTTCCAAAATTTCAAAAAAGGCATTGTGTTTTAAAAATTTCAAAAAAAAAATGAAATTTTCAAAACTTTCAAAATTAAAAAGAAAAACATTTTTTTCCAATCTCTCAAAAGAGTTCAAATATACAATATATATAAAATGTATATACCTATGCCTGATGTTAAAAATAATAGTTCTTAGAAATATGAGAACCCTTTGATGGAAATATATTCATATGTTTACAAGTAATCATATATAAGGATACCATACCTTTCGTTGCTTAATTTTTAAGGTCATATATTTCGTCTATAAAATATAAGTTTTAATAGTTAGAGCATTTATCATCATTCATTTGAGAATGTACAAAACAATTGTTATTAATCATTGACCAATTTTATAGTACGAACAATTTCAACAATTTGTCTCAAGGCACAATGCCATGCACCACTAGTATTATCCTGTTAGTGATACCCAAAGTGGTCCACATGGACCCTCAGGGGTCCATGGCAACTTTCAAGGGGTCCACGGCAGGGAAAACAAAGTTTGCGGGTCCACGAAATAAAAATGGTGGTCCATGGCATATTTAGAAATGATTTAAACTTAAATGTTAGTATTGAGCGCGGAGCCCGCCACCCATCAACCTTGCATATCTCAGAAACTATTAAATGTTCCATTTTTAAATTTCTGTCAAATATTTAGTAAAGTGTAGTTACATTGTATGTCAAGTTTCATCAAAATCGAAGCATGCATTTTTGAAAACGTACAATCTCTTTCAACACTAGTATTGAGAGCGGAGCCAGCCACCCATTAACCTCGCATATCTCAAAAACTATTGAGTGTTTCAACT